TTGATAGCTCAAAGGAAGCCATCTAGAAGGCAGAAGTAACAAAAATTACCAACGAAAACGCTGGACAGCAAGCACAACAGTTATTCAATGAATTGCAGCCTTTTAAATTACTATTAAAACCGGTTTAAGTGATGGATAAATAATTTGAACAATAAAAACAAAAAGCTCGACTGCTTTGATAGCAATAAGAGCTGTCGAATTATCTACACAACAGCAAGGATAGTCCCAAAGGCTAGCAAAACAAAAAATGGGGGCAATTAAGGCTAGCAAAACAAAAAAACGGCTTTCATATAACCATTTCCAACTCTGTGGAAATAGTAATAACAAGTGTTGGCAGTTCAACCAAAACTGAGGCCAAAAGACAGAGGAAAGGCAAACCAAAACACGTCGCACACAAAGAAGTGCAAATTGGTGGATATAATAGATAAACCAAACATTCACTTTGATGGTTCAAAGGAAGCCCTATAGAAGGCAGAAGTAACAAAAATTACCAAACGAAAGAGCTGGACAGCAAGCACGACGGTTATTCAATGAATTGTAGCCTTTTAAAACCGGTCCAAGTGATGGACAAATAATTCGAACAATAAAAACAAAATGATCGGTCGCTTTGATAGTAATAATAGCTGCCAAATAATCTACACAACAGCAAGGATAGTCTCCAAAGCAGTCCAAATGAAAGGGAATAGAGCTCTCAATCAACAATATGGCAAGGCCAAGGAAAACCTTTTTAGGCTGAATATGAAAGTTGACAATAGTTTCTTATATCTTTAATACAAGTCTAATCAACTTGATTTCAGAGCAATTGATAGCCAAATTGAAGTTGGATACCATACCCTATCTAAATCCCTATTCCATGGGGGTCGCTCGAGAATTATGTGAAATAAAAAGTGGGCCAACAGTTTACCATCATGTTTGCAATCACAAAATGATAAATCAACAAAATTACTTGAGAAATCATGCTTCTAGAAGAGTGCCATCTGATATTTGATAATCCATACCTCTAGGAGCATGGCCCCATCTATTATTGATGGTGACAATAATTCAAATTAGTAAAAAATCCATACCTGTATGAGCATGAGGTATTTCCAAAACTATTCCTTCATTTTATCTTGTATCTTGATATTGTAGCAACCAAACAAAAAAAAAAATAGTGCTGATAAAGATTTTGCATTGCTTCTCAAGCATGAGATGCAGCAAAACTAGATACGATCAATTTTTCCAGATAATATTAATTTTGTTTCTTTCATGCTTGATCCCTACCAAGGCAGGTAGATTAACCAACTCTAGCATGAGTTTTCTCCCTTTTCCAAGAAGTGAAGAACTTAACACCCAAAAGAGCTGAGGAGCACAAATTGTCATTGATCAATGGAGCTCCTTTGTCAAATCAACAACCCATGCACTTCCTTTCTCCACTAGAGTCTGTGGGGCCTAGGTGCCACGTGGCAAACATAAGAGAACATGGAGTGGTCCAGATGTGAGCAATTCACAGCACAAATCACCGAAGACGCTTATGCGAAAGAAAAATATAGAATGGCAGACGTGCAACAATTATAGAACACTGAGCATGACCATCATCAAGAATTGTGTCCGTTGGCACAAATTTAGTAGTTGATCGATGAACTACAACTTGGCAAGCATTTCTCCAAGCTAGATCTGAAGTTCAGAAACCGCCAAATCTGTGTGTGTCATAGAAGAAAATACCGAAAATACTATCTTCAAAATGAGGCATAAGAATGTACAAAAGCCGGCCAATGCCATCGGATTTTAGAATATACCAACAACTTCAATAAGACGGGTGACTGAATTGCTTATTGAGAAGGCAATTTGTTTTACAATAATAGGTGGGAGGAGCCTCTACATCATCTTGAACAGATTATAAGGCTTTTAAAAGAAGCCAAATTTATAACTAATCTCAAGAAAGGCTAATCTAACAACCTCTAGCTCGTTTAATTCGACTTCATTGTAGGCAGAGAAAAGCTACAAAAAGATCCAAATTCAATAGAGGAGATATAGACTGGCCCAAGCCCCAAACAATTTTACAAGGAGTTTTATGGTTGCTTGGCAGCATGTCAAAAAATTCATCCATCACTTCTCAGAGTTATCCAACTTTTCTGGCAAGGTGAAAAAGGTGAAGAACACCTTCCAATTACTGAAAAGGAAGATACTGAGCTAATAATTACTCTTCACAACTTAGAAATGCTTTGGCGTTAGAGAGGAATGCATGCAACCATATAATTGATGTCATCCTCATCTAGGATGAAAGATTTTTGGTTTAACATTCAAAAATACACATGATAGCCATATAAACTATCCCGCATATGACAATGACCAATTTACCTTAATATAGGCTGTGAAGCATCAGAGGCATTATTTTGTTAGGAAAATAGAACATTTTGCATACTAATTACCTATTACTACAATACCAGCAAGTCCAATTAAATCCATAGCAAGCTAGACATATGAAATGGCTGTCATACATACAACAATTCAATCTAATGATTAAGCACAACAAGGGTGTGCACAACATTATGGTTGATATGTTGTCTCAATCAATTAATAGGGCAGCTAGGACTTTTATAAGGTATGGAAAAGCTATAAAAGGGATGGATAAAAAGTTAAAAGAGCCTCCCAACCGTCACATGCAATCAGAGGCGCACTAAGGCTAAAGCACATTAATTTAGGCAGTTTACATGGACAAGCATACATTTGTACGGAAAGCTTATTTTACCAAAGATGAGGGGCGCCCAGATACATAAATTATATGACTTGATTATAAAAGGAACATAATGAAGCAATAAGATACGTTAGTGCAAAGTAGACTATAAAATCTGAAATGCTTTTTATTATTAGTCAAAGATGACTTCAACGTACAAAGGATTTTGAAGGAACATCTACTCTGCAAAACAAAACCTTCAAACCATTAGATAGTTCCCAATCACCCCATGTTAATACCAAGTTGACTATGAGAGTGCATTTTGATGTGACTCCTTACCGGGATTAGGCAAGAAATGAGGGTTTAATTAAATATTCATCAAAGTGAACTGTTTTAGCAAGATGGCCCGCCTAATTCATGCCAGAAGACCATCGCAATAGAGAAGAATCAAAATTCTTTTTTCTAACATATTTAGAAATACTTCTGATTTCCTGTAACATTTTCTTTTAAAAGAGACGATATCTTTTTCAATAATTTCTATAAGCTCTTTAAAATTTGATGGAACCCAAGCTAAAGTGAAGCATCAAATTTCATCAACAAATATAGGAAAAACAGAATTGGTGAATGGGAGGCTATAATTCAAAAATTCAATGACTAGAGATGAAAGTTTCCCATAAATGCACTGTGTTTTTAAGCAGCTCAACCAAGGTCCAACATAATTGTGTTAGCAGTACCTGCCACAAGGCCCATTTGACAAAAAATCTTTTATCGATGTGAAAGAGGATGATAATGTTGAAGAGCATGAATAACAATGACATGACATTCTTGGAAGCCGGTCCATTGTGAGATGGAGGAAAACTTCGCTCACAAGGATGAATAAAAGATTGAGCACAATTTCCAAAAAGACGATCTAATTTGACAACACTTGGGGAAGGATTCACTAAAAATGAAAATTTGATAATGAAGTTCATTCACTGTGACCATTCTAGATCTTGCATACGATCAATGAAAATACATTATGGTTAGACTTGCCTTTCTCCATAGGAATTTACGTTATCATCACTGCAGGGAATATGAAGTTATATGAGTTTCCACTGTTGGATAACAAAGAGCAAATGAATGTGATTCCTATAGTTAAGGACCTAGAGGCCTAAAGGTCCACTAGAGGAGGAAAACATTATGGAATTATGGATATAGAGGCCATCTCAGTGTGAAACAAAAACAAAGAGACATTGAAAATATCTAAGAAAGGGAAAAAACCCTAAAACAAGCCAAATCATATATGAAGGATGGAGTATGACTGTTCCCCTATCTACTATAATTCAGAGGAGTGATGGAGCCAAAGGAGAGAGTCTTGATCTAGAAGGACATTTAGCTAGCCCGTAGCTCGATGCTAATCATACAAGATAAAGACAGCCCACCCAAGAAAAAAAACAGCCTCTTTAAGGCTAGTAGATTGGGTCCAAATGCAGGCCCAAGTTTAGGGCAGCCTATTTAGGGCAGGAATTCCATCTGTTAGGTCAGCTCATACAAGGATAGAGTTTCATTAGAATTAAATTCTTATCTATTTTTTATGCATATCTAGGTTTGTTAGGATTTTGGCTAATCCTTGTATTTGAAAGTTGATTATCTATAATCTAAGAAAGTTGGTCTTAAGTTTGAGATAGTATCTCATTGATTCTTGCAATTAATTAGGATTTTGAACTCCCTTTTTATATCATAAATAGTATCATTTGATGTAATGGAAAACAAACAAGTCCCATCCATTCAGTTTTAACTAGAACCAAATGCCAATGAGGCTAAGAAAGTTGCCCAGCAATCAAACCTTTGAAATGTTTTGATGGGCTAAAACATTTCAATAAATGAATTTATTGTCTAGAAATCAAAATGCTGCGGCATCAAGGTGAATTCCGGTAATATTGGAGAGCAAAAGGAATAAACTTTTACTAGCTTGCCAACAATTCACCCACTCTTACGTCCAAAAGACTTGGATCATATAACCAAACCTTTGATTACTTGATCACTTGAGTATCGGATCAATGAATGAAGATGCATATCACTTGCAACAAAGCATGCATCAAGCAAATTGATGAATTCAATTATTCAAGTTCTCTATGCCCCTATCACTTAGCAGGATAAAAAATGATCTTATTTTTTTAGAATTAAACGAAAAGATGGCACTCAATAGGATACAATGGAGAAAAATGATTCATATAGCAGACCCCACTTAGTGGGATAAAGCCTTGTTGTTGTTGTCGCCTATGCCCCTATCATTTAAAAGCACTCCACAGATTTCTTACTTGAAGCAACAAAGAAGTAATTGCTATAAAATAATTTGCAATTATACCTCTCCAGGATGACGACTATTCAAGGCCTGTGCATTAAGTTTATAATTATGTTGTGGAATCAATGCATCAGAAGATTCCACTTGGACATTCTACAAGCCAAGTAAATAGATAAGGTTAATGACTTAGTTCATGAAAAATGTAATGATATATAGACATAAAATGATCTAGCAAAAAGAATTGAAATGATTGAACAGCCAAAGATAAGTACTTCGTTCTTCCTAGTCCAACGGATTGCACCTGAGCGGCCCGCAAATGCATAAAATGCAAAATGGCGTAGATCTACAGATGCATTGATTCCAGAGGCCTGTAAGAAAAGAAAACCATTAGGGAAAAAGTAAACCATACCGTCAAAATAAAATAAATATTTTACTACAAAAATTAGAAAGAATTATTACTATGAATTACAATGAAACAAGAAAAGATGACATGTTAACATTCTCAATATAAATACAAAAGTGTGTGCATCTATAATGACTTTATTTCAATTATTGATTTATTAGTTCATTCAATTTAAGTATTATATTTTCTTAAAGTATTTCAAAAATTAATTTTATCAGCCAGAGCATTTGTATAACACAAGGAACTATTCTTTCTATGAAAGAATTTCAATGGCATATCTATGTGAGAATAGGATGATTGGATAACATAATAACACCTACAATTGACTCCTTCACACTCTCTTATAATGCCTTTATCATCCATCTCTAAACTCGCCCTCATAATCCTTCTCCATTTCTCTCTCAGCTCTGCCATTTTCTCTCCAATTCTTAACCTAGAAATCACCTCCAATCAATTGCATTTATAGCAAAATAATCAAGATTTAATAAATTATTTTCCACACAACAACAATTTGTTACTAAAGTGATTGTTTGCGTCTTTTTTATTTTCTCGTTCTCTTATTTTTTGTGTTTTATCCAAAATAAATTATTGTTCATGTGCTCCTGTGATGCAATTTCATTATAAACTAATATTTTTGGTCCATATTGCTTACTTTGTTGTCCTACAAACATATAAAACATCTTGTACCTAGCAAGCATCTTGAGCTAAGACACCTTTCATTACAATGATATAAAAGGTGAACCCTAATTAAAATGATAGACCTTTCTCCTACATTGACATAACAATAAACTCAACCAATCTCACTAGACTCACATGATAAGGATGTTTAAAAAAATGTAATATGTTAATAATCCGGAATTGTACCCGCTTGATAATTTTGTTTCATTGCATCTTGAGATGAAGATACAAAATATTCCATAGTTCCCTTTGTTTTGAACATCAAAAATTTAACGCATTCATTTTTTGTTAGATAAAAAAATGATGATAAGCATCAATCTCATTCACATCCTTTAAAATGCCCTGCAAATATGTTTTTTGAAGTCCTCAGAGCTATAAAGAAAAGCCATCCAATGTTACCTCCTACATGGACAATAATTAATTCATGAATACGCCTATTCAACTGTTTGGGAGAAGAGGCCATTGTACAAATCATGTTATGCACTACAACACATTAATGCCATACTTCATGTTCAATTCACTTAATAATAAAAAAACTAGTCCTCTTTTAGCAGTCATAGTTTTCAGTCCTCATGTACAAAACCTTACTATATAGGGTTCTAAGCTTATATCATGTTTGTAATAACGTTATTAAATTTGAAGCATACATGGTTCATAATCCTCCCCTCTCAAATATTCCTCTCTCTCTCTCTCTCCCCCTCACTCTCTCCTCACACACATTTTATTTCTCTAAAAATCACGAACAATGCAAGAACAAAGAGTAAATTTCATTGCAATGGATCTCAGCAATTAAGCTTAATCCAAAGAAGATTGTCGCAGCAAATTAAGTTTTAAAGTGCTGCTTCCAATGGTATAACTTCAGCTTTGTTTAGCTAGACTAAGTTGTTATTATCTTACAAATCTATTAGCATAAGAGTTAATTATTTTTTGTCAAATGCTGAAAAATACTCCATATTTGGTATGATGTGCTACCAATTGATGAGACTTTTATTCTTCTTAGTAAGACTTGGTTGCATGACCAGAATCTTGTCTACTACAGATAAGGCAATACTTAAATTTTCAAATATATGAGCACTACCATTAGAATAATTTCATCTAACTGGCAAATGCACATTTAAACTTATACTAATATCAAAATAAAATATAATTAAAAGAAAACATTATTTACGAGTTTCAAAATGAATTGTCAAAGACAACCGTGGCTCTAGAGTCAATACGTTGTTGGTTGGTAAAGAAGTCTAGACTCCCCCTTTTTAGTAGCTCAACCAAATTAAAATTGCTAAAGTTTTGAGCTAGGGAGAATTTGGGTTAGGTCAAGATTTGGCTAGGGTTTGGTGGGTATAAGTTTGGGAGGTGAAAAAAGTGTATGGAGCTGATTTAAGGTGAAGAAAAATTATTGATTTTGAAAATCAGCAATGGAGAATTAAGATTTAGTCAAGATTTATCTATGATTTGGCGGCTTTACGTATGGGAGAATTTTGCTAACCCTGTGATGGGACTAAGAATTGGCTAGTTCTGATACCAAATGATACTGGAGAAGGGAGGTTGGAGAAAAGTCAGCAAGAACATCTAAGAAAGCAAGCCGAGACAAAAAAAATAAAATCAGAACAAAGACGAGATGCACTAATTAAATAAAGATACCAAATACAGAGTTTTCTACTCTCGCAACCGATCAGGATACAAAAATCACCACTCGGACGATTGACGAAGAAAGAAGACCAGGATGTCATCACCAACAACAGAGGAATACAGTTACCACCACCCAATGTCGTGGATACAGAGTCATCCCCATACAAGAACCACAATGGGAGCACAGGCCCTCACAAAATTCAAATAAACAAAAGACTTCCAATACAATAAACGATTATACATTTATAATCAACAAAGGACCTAAACTTAATAAAAACAAACGGATGAGAACACACTTGTTGCTATTTGGAGTGAGCAACAACCCTAGCCTTAAAGAGAGGGTCGACCGACCCTCCCCAACTTGGACTGAACAAGCCAGAGATCCCTCCTTGCCTCGCGTCAATCTACCGGGGTTGGTGGAGCTTCGATATCACCTGTCAAAGCTTCTGACTTCTCATAATATAACATCGGGTCGGCCACATTGAAGTTGGCGGAGCAGTGGTAACCTTCCGAGATTGGAGGGCCTCCAACTTCCACCACTTGTCTTCTCAGTCATGTGGTCAGGGTTTAGGTTTGACTGAGGGGCACTAAAAAACTATTTAGGGTTGCTAGTTTTAAAAATCAGCGATGGGGAATTAGGGTTGGGGAAAGATTTAGCTATGGTTTGTTAGGTTTCGAAGGTGATAGAATGGGGTTGATTTATGGTGTAGAAAATTATTTAGGATTGTTGATTTGAAAATTAACAAGAGGGAATCATGATTAGGTCAAGATTTGACTATGATTTGGTGGCCGGATGTATGTTTAGGAGGATTTTGGTAACCCTAAGATGGAACTACAGTTAGGGTAGCTTTGAAACCAAATGATACCGGATAAAAAAAGTTAAAGAAATATCAGCAAGAACAACCAAGAAAGCAATCTGAGATAGGGAAAAACAACCAAAACAAAAACGAGATGCACTAATCAAATAAAAAATACAAGATACATGAGTTTCCGACTCTCACAACCAATCAGGATACAAAAATCACCAACCTAAGGATTGACGAAAAAAGAAGATCTGGAATATCACCACAAAGAATGGAGGAATACAGTTTCCATCACCCAATGTTGTGGATACAGACTCATCCTCATCCGGGAACCAAAAGATGAACACAGGCCCTCACAAACTCAAATGAACAAAAAACCACTAATACAATACACGATTAAATATCTATAAACAACAAAAATCTAAACTTAGTAAAATTAAATAGAAAAAATATACTCTTACTGCTATTAGGAGTGGGCAGCAACCCTAGCCTTAGAGAGAGCGCCGACCGGCCCTCTCCCACTTGGACCGAACCAATATGGGGTCTCCTCCCTGCCCTGCCAATCCACCAAGGTTGGTGAAGCATCGACCATCTCTATAGAAGCTACTGACACCTCATGATATGGCATCATGTTGGTCACGTTGAAGGTGACAAAGCTGTTGTAACCTCCCGGGATTAGAGGGCCTTCAACTTCCTACACTTGCCTCCGCGGTAGCATGGCTAGGGTTTAGATTTGGGAGGTAAAAGAGGGTACAGAATATTGATTTAGGGTGCACAAAAACTACTAGAGTTGTTGATTTTAAAAATCAGTAAGAAGTAATTAGATTTAAGTTAAAATTTGGCTATGGTTTGGTGTATTTAGGTTTGGGAGGTGAAAGAGAGTATATGGGGTCGATTTAGGGTGCAAAAAAACTATTTAGGGTTGTTGGTTTAAAATATCAGCAAGGGAAAATTAAAATTAGATCAAGATTTGGCTATGATTTGGTCGTTTTAGGTTTGGCAGGATTCTGGTAACTCAAGGATGGAACTAAGGTTAGGCTAGATTTGATACCAAATGATACCAGAGGAGGGTTGAAGGAAATTCAACAAAAACAGCCAAGAAAACAATCCAAGACGAGAAAAAAAAAAACAATCAAAACAAAGACGAGAAGTACTAATCAAATAATATATACAATATACAAGATTTTCCTACTCTCGCAACCCATCAGGATACAAAAATCACCACCAGAAAGATTAACGAATGACAGAAATCTGGGATGTCACCAGCAACAACAAAGGATATAGTTAACACACCACACAATGTCGTGGATATAGACTCCTCCCCGACCGGGAAGCACAAAGGGAACACGAGCCATCAAAAAACTCAAATGAACAAAAGACCCCTAACACAATACACAACATATTTATAATCAATAAAGAACCTAAACATAATAAAAACAAACATAAAAAATACCTTACTGTTATTAGGAGTAGGTAGCAACCCTAGCCCAAGAGAGAGGGTCGATCAGCCCTCCCCCACTTGGACTACACCGGTCTGGGGTTCCCTCCCTGCCCGATGTAAAGAACATTCATTGAAAAGTTTTTAGTTGTGTACCTTAATGACACCTTAATCTATAGTATGTCCAAAGTAAATTAAATGTGAGTTGCTTTAGCAAGGGGGAATTAGGGTTGGGTCAAGATTTAGCTATGGTTTGTTAGGTTTCGAAGGTGATAGATGGGGCTGATTTAGGGTGTAGAAAATTATTTAGGATTGTTGATTTGAAAATTAACAAGAGGGAATCATGATTAGGTCAAGATTTGACTATGATTTGGTGGGCGGGTGTATGTTTAGGAGGATTTTGGTAACCCTGGGATGGAACTACAGTTAGGCTAACTTTGAAACCAAATGATACCGGAAAAAAAGAGTTGAAGAAATATCAGCAAGAACAACCAAGAAAGCAATCTAAGACAGAGAAAAACAACCAAAACAAAAATGAGATGCACTAATCAAATAAAAAATACAAGATACATGAGTTTCCTACTCTCACAACCAATCAGGATACAAAAATCACCAACCTAAGGATTGACGAAGAAAGAAGACCTGGAATATCACCACCAATAATGGAGGAATACAGTTTCCATCACCCAATGTTGTGGATACAGACTCATCCTCATCTGAGAACCAAAAGAGGAACACAGGCCCTCACAAACTCAAATGAACAAAAAACCACTAATACAATACACGATTAAATATCTATAATCAACAAAAAATCTAAACTTAGTAAAAATAAATAGAAAAAATATACTCTTACTGGTATTAGGAGTGGGCAGCAACCCTAGCCTTAGAGAGAGAGCCGACCGGCCCTCTCCCACTTGGACCGAACCAATCTGGGGTCTCCTCCCTGCCCTGCCAATCCACCAAGGTTGGTGAAGCATCGACCATATCTATAGAAGCTACTGACACCTCATGATATGGCATCATGTTGGTCACGTTGAAGGTGACAAAGCTGTTGTAACCTCCCGGGATTGGAGGACCTTCAACTTCCTACACTTGTCTCCACGGTAGCATGACTAGGGTTTAGATTTGGGAGGTAAAAGAGAGTACAGGAGACTGATTTAGGGTGCACAAAAACTACTAGAGTTGTTGATTTTAAAAATCACTAAGAAGTAATTAGAATGGGCATTTCAATTTGAAGGTTCCAGGTTAAGTTGATGTTAAAGAAGTGCAATTTTTTCAGGCAGCAAATAATATTTTTACATAATAAAAGAAATAAAAAATAGGTAAATTGATTAGCGTCATATAAAATTGATTAATGATATTTGAAGCCTTATGGACTCGCCAAGTTTTACATAGTTTTAATAAAGGTTTTACTTCCATCATTGTGCCTATTAAGGAACACTTTAATTACATGAACTGCTTCACAGCAAATGCTTAATCTACAATATTTAGACTTACCTTATTTTGTAAAGAATTTAGGTTTCTTATGTAATAGTAGGGTTATGAGCCAAGAGAAACATTATATTTCATATTTTAGTAAAACGTTGAATAATGCTAACCACAAATACTCCACTACTGACAAGAAATTTTAAGTTGCAATATTAGCACTTCCTTTTTTTGTGTCATTATTTGCTTCAAAATCAGTTTAATGTCTGCATTCATCACTAGGCTTTTAAATAGTTCGATTCCATACTAAAATAAATGCTCAAAACGCCAAATAGATTGAATTTATCAAGTGTACTACTTTGTTCTCAAGCAGTGTTGAGAATAAAGCTGATAAAATTCTAAGTAGGGTGATTAATACACTGCTTATAAGGAAAGAATATTTGGTGCATCATAATGTTGACTTTATTTATCAATAAAAAACAGACAACATGAAGTAATTGCCACCCAACTATGGTATTTACGATGGATTATTTTTAAAAATATCCAAAATATGTCTAAATCGTACTTATAAAACTATCTGTTTGGGAACTATGGTTAGCAGAAAGATTGATCAATAAGCAATGAAAATATTACAGTTAGTAGAGGAACAATTTTATTGATTCTAACTTGAAAAAGATGTAGATAATATCATTAATTAGTATTGAAATTCTCAAATGGTTGTTGTTAAACAAAATACCATATTGCCCATTTCATTACCTATGTTGAACAGCACAAGGAAGTATATCAACATGGTTATTGCGTTAAGATTATCAAAGATTGTCAATGAATATATTTTTTTTAATCTCAGTCGTAGTAGATAGGTTTTTTATCTAAATGACACATTTTATTCATTGAATAAGACTATTACCTCCCATGTGTCAAATTTGTATTTTAAGGATACATTTTGCCTGCAAGACCTTCCCATTTTTCTGGTCTTAAAGAGATAAAAAATTTGTCAATAATTCTTGGAAAAACTGATGAAAATATTTGGAACTCGATTGCTGTTGTCATATAATTCCAATTCTCACAAAAATGTATGGCAATGGTTATGAAAAGAAAAGTTCGGAAATATATTATGTGGTCTTAAAAGAAAAGTCTAGAGAAATGCGATGGAATACTACACATGCATGCAAATGCTTAATAAATAATTTACATATTTTTCTAGAGCAATTATAGCATATCTCCTCGAGAATTTTGATTTAAAGATGTGCGCGGTTCTCATCTAAGAAAGCCTATAGTTTCCTTACCTTTACACATGCATGCATGGAAAAGGTCTACTAAATTATTTATTAAGCATGTGCAAGAATCATATATTTTTAAATTAATACAAACAACTTTGTAAAATGAGAAATATAAAACTACAATGAATGCTTGTAAGAAATTTTGAGAATACAATGAAGGTAATTGCCTACTAGTTTCTATTCAGAAGAACACTTTCTGAAAATTACATACAGGAAACTCTTTATGAGAGTCTCGAGACATTAGAATATACTTGTAAAACTTGGACCAAATGTATATTGATTTACTTGCTAACGTTGACATTATTCTGACATTTAATGTCAGGTCCTACAACCATATAAAAGCACTTTCAAACCTTCAAACCAACAGATGTCTCCAGAGTAGAGTTTATGTTTCTCCCCTAGCAAAATTAGTTCTAGTGTACCGCTTGATTCATTTCTATAAAAAAGTTGAGCAGATTTTGATAAGAAAAATTTTGAATGAGATCTTGCAGGTAATCAACATTATTTAATTGGATGGTATCATCTTTTAGAAAAATTTTGAATGAGATCTTCAGGTAATCAACATTATTTAATTGGATGGAATCATCTTTTAGTGGTGTCACAAAATAAGTTTAGCATCTTTCTTCCAAGTTGCCTACAACGTCACAGAAGCAAAATTCTATGGAAGAAATTTCTTCATATCTTGAAAGAATAGAAAACGACATACAAACAGACTTGCGGTGTCATCGATAGCATTAATGGCAATCATTTCATAATTTATTATTTTGTTGTATTAGGAAATCTTCATTTCTTTTTCTTTGTTTTAGGTTCACTTAGATAAATAATAACATTTTTTGTATTTGCAACCACCGATAATTTCATCACCAAAGAAATCTGAACGCACATTTATGAGGGAATTGAATAATTAGATTACCTCATAATCTCTATGACCTGTCCAACCCCTCTCTTTCTTGCATCTCTTCCCCTCCCGACTCACTCTCTCTCTCTCTCCCCATCCCCCTCTCCCCTCCCAAAATCGCTCGTTTTTCCTCCTTCCTCTTCCCCTCTTCTCAATCTAAAAAACCACTTCGATATCTAATCCCACAAACAGTATAATCCTAGCAAAGCAACCCATATATCTCAAATTCTCTTTCAGAGACCAAACAAAAAAACCTCTTTCAAGATAAGAAAAAAAAACATAATATATATGTATGTGTGATTGTGTGTGTGTTAGGAAATATGCTGTAATTACACAAAGATGATCTTCTGTAGTAATTTCCAAGTTCATTGCACTATTAAATGTATAAAGAAAAAGTTTGGTCGGTTTCAATTTTTTCGTCTTATGATGCTAATAACATAACCATAGAGCCAAAAAATAACTGTCGAGTTGGGGTAAAAAAGGGGCATGGAAAATACAAACTGAAAGTTCAAAATCATTGTTATAGAACAAAACAGTTCTCAGTTTCTCCTGGCTTTTGATGATTCAATTATATGACGTTTGCATGGCAACACGTATGAGTATGATGATTGTCAATAAAAGCATCCAAAAGAAAAAAGGTCACACATAATAACTCATCAAGGAAAATTAGATTTGATGAGCACAAATTTTGCAAACTAGCCCAAAAGTGAATGCTAAATTCTAAAATCAGTCCTATACACAATCGAGGGACAGAATGCAATGTCGAGATTTTATCCTGACATGTTAAAAAAATTAGGACATTATAAATCAGCCAAAGAAAAAGGCGTTACAAAAAATGAACTTCAATACTTAGAGACGTCATTCTACAAAAATGCCCTAGCAACCGATCCAAAAAAATTCACTAAATTCCAGGAATATCTGGCATCAAACCAGAAGAAACACCAAAACCTGATATTTATGCAAACAAAAAATATCCATCAGAAAAAACTCAACTAAGCCATGTTACTTAACAAAATTTCAGAATTTTGGTGGAACCCAATACCAGTAAGTTAAGATCATTCAGGCCAACTGTACAAAGCATAATAACAAGGAGCCAAATAACTATATACTCCTAACAATTAGAAGTTATAATATATACCCCTTTCTCGTTTGCATTTCCCTGGTGCAACTCCTCAATTTTATCAGACAGCAAGCTTTCTTCAAAGAAATCCATGGTCTACACAGAAGATAAACAGCAGTAGGTTAAAAAAACTGGCATATCTAGGACAACAAGAGCGGAATAAAATAAGAAAAAAAATCTTAAAAATTGGAGTAAAATAAATATATAAAGGCATTCACATATAAGTACACGGACAACATGAATCTATCTAGCATTGTTACATTTGTATGGGAGGTGTGTGCTTGGTAAAGAAGATAAGATGGAATAAACAAAAAATCTATTATACTAAAAATAATATTAAAAAAAAAGAAAACTCAATGTTAATCATATGCACATTAATCAGATTAAAAAGCCAGAAATATGTAGCATTGGAAATTAATGAGAGATTGGATACTTTATCAAGAAGAAAGATGAGTACATAAAAGTTAATTTAACGGATAAACAAACAATATCTGGAAAAAAAATTTAAAATCAATGCATTTGATAAGCTTACAAATATAAATTATCGTATAGCATACATGATGTTTCATTTCCATCCTGGCACCAACAATCACTAGCCCTGCATCTCCATGCTTCAACGTGAAATTACTAATAGTAATTGCTATCTCTCTATGATGAGCACCGTGTGGAAAATCTTCCTGACAAACAAGAATGCAAGTACATCAGCTAGTTTGTGCTAAACAGTATTTTAGCGCATGTTTGAGATAAATTTTGTTTTTTTATTTTTGTTTGTATCTTTTCATCTATTTTTAAAAATATGTTTGTTTAGTGTTTTTTTTACATATTTTATGTTCTATTTCTATAAAAAAATTAATAAGTTTTTGAAGTCACTCAAAACAACTTTTAAATGCTTCAAGTGTGTTTAAAAACAACCATACCTTGATAAAATAGTCAAACATAATTTGTTTCAAATAAAAACATAAACAAAATAAAATAAAAACAAAAAATAGAAAAAGATATCCCAAACAGCCCTTAGCTTTCAAAGATAATCAAATGTGCTCATTATACCTGCAAATTAGTTTCCCAGAGCTTTTTAAGGTTGTGATCAAAGCACATAACTAACCAGCCGGATGTAACAACAACAAAAACTTGTTTCCTAATTTCTCCATGTTTATAACTGCGATCAACATAGCCTACTGCCATAGCAACAGGTCGTCTCCCGGATGATATGCGGATCTTATCTGGCAGTAAAGAAACCTCAGCCAATACTCGTGCTTCATTGAATCCTTCATCCACACGTGTAGCATGTGGTTCGAGGACCTGAAAAGCAAGGAACAGTTTCTCAATCACAGTGCACAGTATGAACAACTGGCAATACTTCAAATAGTAAATAAGCAAGTTCCATCACTATAGAATGTTGATGCAGCATTGAATGACACATTAAGGCTTCATTTGAGGTGGCTTATGATTTTTTGTTTTGTCATCAAAACTTTTTAAATGTTATTTTCTCAATTATAGTTTCTATTTTGCTTTCCTAAAGATAGCTTCTTAATCAAAACCAAAAAAAAATAAAAGAATCAAAAAAAAGATGGGAAAAAAGTAATCCAAATTTTTTATACAAATAAACACTGTCTGTTGTTGGTTAGTCCTCAGACAACTATTGTTGTCTATAAATTAGTTATAAAACTAGATTGGGCAGTAAAAAGCTATTCATCAAATAATATTTTAAAAGAGAAACAAAGTTGTAGCCAAATAAAAATAGTAATAATTTGAAAATAAAGATGACAAAAAGATGACAAATAGACTCTAAACTAGAATCAAAAGAAAACATGTATCAGAATATCCTTCAAATCAATAGATCATACAACAATTTTCAATTCGTTCTAGTTTAATAGTACTTAGAAATAAAATCAGTTTGGGGTGACTAGCTATTTGTTAATGTGAATATAGAACTATAATAGAAAAAAGCATAATTTATGGAGATTATGGATATGTCTAACCTTTTTTTCCTTTTGAAAAATCGGATATCAATTATTTTACAACAATCACTACTAAATATAGTAGTAAAAAATAATTTCTGAACAAATGAATTTTGATAAATCAACAAGAAACCTATAGCCAAACAAAAATGTTGTGCATGTTTGAAAAGCAAAGTTGTTAATAAGATGCCCCACATGGACCCCATAGAAACTCTCAATGCAAAAATTTGGCCATTGAGAAGAATCATTAAAATGCAAAAATTATTAAATTGAAGATATATATGATTTGGATCTTCACTGGTACACTTCAATTATCCATTTAAAAGTATCATTTTGGTAAACATTAAAAAGAGAATTCTTTTAGATATACTGGAATTATTTTAAATGATTTCCCATAATAAGCATTTGCCTTATATAAATTTCCTTCCGTATAAATAATAGCATAACACAATTATAATCTTTACAACTGTAGTCAATTTAGCAAAACCCAAAATACCATTCATAATAACTACAAGGTGAATATTATAGACCATCTTATTGCAACCCAATTTGACTAATAACGTTTTCTTCTTTTGCAATTAGGCTTTAAGCTTGTCCCTGAATATATAAATTAGCTAGATGATCTTAGATGTAATAATTCAACCAACCTGAATTTTTGCATCATGGTTCGCAACAAGCACTTCACTTTTTCCATCACCATTCAGATCAGCAACAATTGGTGGAGGAAGGCGCTCAGCCTCATATTTGATTGGGTATTCATCAGTGACATGGAACCAAGCCTCCTTAAAGGAAAGATCACCTTCATGCTGGTAAAAGTTAAAAAGAGAGACAAACATATTAAGCAATTGAATATTTACCAATCTTGAAAGTTTCATGGCATGGCTAAGATCAGTTGAAATTCCAAAATATAAGAGGATGTTCAATAAGTTTTATTTAAATATTTACCCAATAGATCCACTTAACCTGCCATATTTCTCTCTTAAAGGCACTCGTTGTAAATGTAATTACGTGGTATGCTCAACCAAGATTTAATTTTAATCTCACTGATTCATAACTTAAATCAACCTTTAATGTTAAATAAGTAGCTTGTAAAGGCTACAACAAGATAGCCCTATAGTAATTAAACAATGAATATCACACAGGAGGTTTAGTGCGTGATGAAATAATGATCCATTTATTAGCTATAGAACAACCCAATAAAATGGAGAACATATTAATCGATTACAGTTGCGATGTTTATGACCAGAGATTAATTAATTCAAGATCTATAACTGTAGAGGCGGCATTAAGGCGCCAATGCCAAAAATCACATGTGCTAAAACGGTGGAGTAAAGAAGTTTCAAATTGTTATAAATATAACTTTAACAAAATATTTGAAGTAGATTACACTGATACTTGCAATTTAGTCAATGCAACTTGCAACACTAAAAAAGCATTCAAACTAAAAAAGTTAACAACAAATTCTTTCATGTTTTTTATACAGAAAATAAGAATACAAGTGATAACAGAATCCACTAAAGTGAGTGTCACCTGAGACGGTAGACAGAAGCATAAAACTACTCATCACACCATGCAAATGTTAAATCTTTATTGACAAGACGAAAGATACTTTCATAAGCTGATGATTACTTCATGTATTTCAAAATGCGAGAGCCAGCATGCTAGCTAACTGATTCAAATAAAGAGAGAAGAATGTGATCTTCTTTCTACTATGGTATCTCAATATGACACACGAGTGAAAGAAGCTAAAGAATTACTTTTCCTTCGATAAGGGCCAGGAAAAGCATGATAGAAGAAGGTGAAGAAAAGTAGAAAGAAAGATGATATGTTGCTATAAAAAGATGAAAAAAACATAAAATTAGACCACAAAATTTAATAATAATAATAATAATAAAGAATGCTGAAAGAAGATGGGAGGTAATGCAGGAAAATCCATGATGACTTAACAGCATTAAATAAAATTTGCATAAGGTTTGTAAAAAAAAGGGGGGGGTGTAGAGTTATTGTCATCCTCAATACCTTATTCTAACTATCTGGGCCTCAAATTAGTGCATACTTCTACTACACTAGCTTTTAATAGGAGTAACACGTAATGGTCACTTTAATTTATGCAAGTATACTTTCATAAGTTCTCGTCAAGTAACTTATGCCACATGCAATTTCCATACACACTTTCAAATAAATTCTATCAATTAATCTTATTGGCAGACCTTTTTCACTTCTTTATTCACACCTGAGCCAACTAAGTCTATTCCTATCAACCTTATCCTCGAAGAGTGTTATTACCAAAGCCACCAACAAAATCATTTTGCAAAAGATCTTTCTCAGTTTTCTCAACTCAATTGCTATTGCTCTTTTGTTTTCTGAACTTGAATAAATGCAACAAAATCAACCTTATTTCAATTGTATACTTCTAGCATAATAGCCTCAAACAGCTCTCCATTTTAACAAGTTATTTCCTCAATTGATTCCTCTCTTTTTTTTTTTTCTTTTTGCAATTCAACCAAGATATCTAAACCCCTCTTATCTAGCTAACATTTAAACATCCAAATTCTTGATTGATCATTATTGATTCAATATCTAACAATATTAGAGTGATATATTTTGATTTTGTTCAACTGATCGTAAGCCTTTTATGTTTCATCTTTTCTTCATTGTTCAACATTTCATATTCATTAACAAAAGACTCGCCTATCAAGACTACTCATCGACTAGTAAGATATGCAAATGTGCCTCATGATAAATAAATGCTACAAGCACCTCCACCGCCAATACAATATACGGATTTATGCTGATCATTGATGTAACCTTGCTACGATTGAGAACTCTCTGTCACTCCACAAAAACTTCTAATCTTGTTCCAAAAAAAGAGATTCTAGAACGAGTCATTGCATTACCAACTTCAAAATGCCTTCCACATAAATTGCATTTTCTCAGTACCCGCCAAATTTAATACTATTTCAAGAAGTCATCTGCCTCTGCAAGATTAATAAAAATCATATGAAAACTTTCCTTGATTGTCTATACTTACCATTAATTGATTCCATGTTTGGCTTTTACTCTCATTAAATTATTTATTCCTTGTTCATGATGTGATTTCTTCACTTTGCCCAATCACTCTTCTAAAAATCATTGTATCGCCCAAAAGCAATATATCATCCACAACACACAAGTTTGATTCTCCTACAGTTAAACTTCATGGGTTCTTGTTATTAAAAAATGGTAATGAAATGCTTATACTCCAACCACTTTGGATCTTCTTGGAGACAAATATTCCATTATAATTGTTCGTTAACAGCACTACTCACATACTCATATCTTTCCAAGCCTATAATGACAGATTGTACTAAATTAGAAAATTCATGAACAAGGCATACAGTGCTCAAAATGAAAAGTATATCCAATGCAATTTCTTTTCAAAGTGAGTAGTGCATAAAAAGTTAAAGAGCTTAGGTGATGTCCATAAGCCAGAGTGCATGAGGGTACATGTTTGATTACGCAATGAATAAACAATATTTTGTCGATGAGATGATTAACGCTATAATAGAAACTGTACACATAATCTAACCTTTTATCAATTGCAATTTGTTGTTTTCTATTGATCCGTGTATGAAAAGTAAATTAAACTTCAGTTAGTGAGAAAAATAAGCATGAATAACGAATCCAAAATTATTAAGGCAACCACTAGTACCGTGAACCCATTATCAGTGTGAGGAATAGAGTTGCATGAGTAGATATATATAGTATTCACTCTAAAACAGCAAAAAGTGATTCAATGATAATACAAAGGAATACAATATACAAAGAATTTGTTCGGAGGATTTGCAATTGTTTACAAAAGTAGCATTAGAAGAATTGTGAGAAAATAGATTTTAAAAAGTTGTGAAAGTAATAGACTTAACCCTTTTAATCGGACAACCAGTTTCGCACAGTTATCATATGCTATCACATCTAACTATAATTTCTTTTCTCCCGGTAAAAAAAATAAATAAAACCAGTAAAAGAAGGTGTAGCCAATCAAAATTGTGGCAGCCGTCTAAAAAGTGAAATAATGAAAAAAGCCAGGTAAAAGCTGCCCGAAACGAAAGCTAAGATTCGTATATTTCAATCCATCCAAATGCTTTGCAATGATACAACTATCCAATCTCATCAAGCTTCATTAAATCATTACTCTGATTGATGCCAGTTTGAATTAATACAATAAAAAATTGTCTCGTATCAATAGATCATCTCCATATTCGAGAAGCGTCTTCTTTCTCTATCAAATAACTAAATCCGATAAAAAATGACAAGGGAATGAGGAATGAGAATGAGAATACTTCTCGAGGAGGTCAAAACAGCAAAAGCAGAGATCGAAGATTTTAGCCCGTAACAGAAAACCATTCCTGAGCAGAAATCCATATTCCGAACGGTCTAAAAAAAAAGTGGCAAAAGGAAAGAGAAATAGTAGATGATATCTTAATCGTCATCCTTCATCAAAACCTGCAGAGAGAAGAAGATTGCAAAGGCAGAGAGCATAAGAATCCCCAAGTCTCGCTTCCTCATTTCTTCTCCCCCACCGCCCTCTCAGCACAAGCGAGCTCTAGTAATCTAATAACACTTTCAGCCGGAATTTAGGGCATCATCGACTGCAGTCCCAAGGGGACAGACGTCAACAGCTGGGAGGAAAAAATATTATCAGTACTACGCACGTAGAGTAATGTGCGTACCCAATGAAATCACGTCACGATATCCCGCACGACGTAAAAAAAAAAATTGCGCAGTAACATGGGGAATATTCTCCCCCGTGTTATTCATGTGTTATTGTGTGTTATTCATGTGTTATTGTGTTATTATAATACCGGAAATATTCCCAGGATACAATAACACATGAATAACACACAATAACACTTGAATAACACGGGAAATATTCCCGACAGAGAAAAAAACGGCGCAGTAACACGGAGGAATATTCTCTCCCGTGTTATTCTTGTGTTATTGTGTGTTATTCATGTGTTATTGTATCCTGAAAATATTCTTGGTGTTATAATAACGCAATAACACATCAATAACACATGAATAACACGCAATAACACATGAATAACGCGCAATAACACATGAATAACACATGAGGGAATATTCTCCGTGTTACTGCGCCGTTTTTCTTACTCCGCCGCACGAGATGTCGTGGCGTGTTTTGATTGGCTACGCACTTTAAAAATAACGTGCGTAATACTGATGTAATATTTCTTCCTTTGGGAGGGCACTGAGGCCAGGGCTGCGAAAGTATAACAAGCTAAAAATGTGTATTCCGGTATATCTCCGGGCCAGGAAATCTAGCCTCGGCAACATTTCCATCAAATCGACATTTAAGTCCTTATTATTTATTAATATTATACTTAATTTCAAAACATTATTAATATTTAGAATGTCTATGAACTTCTTTAATGAATGCAAGAGGACTAAAATAACAACAATAATGTGTCGTGCATCAACTAATAAGAGTGAAGTAGATAAAGATGATCAACATTATAAGATGGTTCATCTCGTGAAAATATTTTTCGTACGGAGTCCGGACATAGTTCTGAGTTAGACTCCAATAAAATCTTTTCACATGTAACTAACTGACTCCGCCTACAAAAAAACAAAAAAAACACTTTGTTTTTCGATCAAGTCGGCCCGAACCTACCTGATGCTTCGAAAAACTAAAAACGTGTGTTGACTCAGCTGTCAGAATCACTACTTCTCTTCACTCTCGGACTTTCAGTGGTTTCGGGCGGAGGCAGCTGGCGAAGAGCGATCTTCTCAGCCCCTCTCTCATGCTGTCATTAGGTGAAACATTGACGATAGAATCTGAAAATAGTGATGATATATTTGAAATTGAGGAGATTTATCCTGCAAATAAAGAAAAACATGAGTTGGAAATGGTAGTAAGTTTAGTTGTGTTATTATTTTATGAGGGGTTTTTTGAGTTGTTTTTTAGATGTTATTTTTTGGTGTTATTGTGTTATTTTTTTGTATTATTGAGGTATTTTGTGGTGTTATTGAGGTATAGGTTTAAAATGGAGGAGATTTATCATGCAAATAAAAATTGAAGTTGGGAATTGATGTGAGTTTAGCTATGTTATTATTTTCTGAGGGGTTTCTAAGGTTTTTTTTTTTTGTGTTATTGTGGCATTTCATGATGTTATTGTGGTATTTTGTGATGTTATTAAAGTGTGTGTTTGAAATTAAGGAGATTTATCCTACAAATAAAGAAACAAAGTTGGAAATGGAGAAGAGTTTAGTTGTGTTATTATTTTTTGAGGGGGTTTGAGGTGTTTTTGAGGTGTTTTGAGGTAATTTTATGATTTTACCTAGGCATTATCGATGTGTTATTGTGGTGTTATTTGCCTAATTTTTTGAAGGATAACAAAGTCTTATTATGAAAAAGATAAGATTAGCATTTTTCTTGTGCAATTTGGTGAGATCGGTGATATTTGTATTGAGCCAATTGCAGACAGATTTCTTCGCATCGTTGTTCACAATGAAAAAGAAGTATATAAACTATATTGTGCTTATGCTCATCATATTAATGTTTGCAAGGACCACACATTGGCCGAACTCGACGAATATTAAGACGAAGGTCTTCGTATGTGGTAAAACAGGTTTAAAGAAAGTTTTGAAGTTCACGAAGACTGTTAAGTACTGAAAAGCAAACACAAAGACTGGTTGTTCAGCAATGATTCGATACGCAGTTGATGTTAAGGGCAACTGGCCAGTTAAAATATTTATAAAAATTCATAACCACTCCTTAACGAACCCTGGTGATAAGCATCTTCTGCGTTTAAGCAGAAAAATAAGCAAAATCAATGCAGATTTGCTCAGATTTTTTGCAGAATCAGGGATAAGAGCTACAAATGCATTTAACTTTTTTGTTACAGAAGTTGGGGGAGTAGAGAATCTTGAATGTACGAAGAGACATGCCTTTAATTTCATTTAAAGAGAGAGAAGATCTAGAATTGAAAATGACGACGCTAATTCTCTATTACAATTGTTCACGGAGAGACGGACCGAGAATAGTATGTTTGTGTGAGACTTTCAAATTTATGAGATTGGTGGGTTGATGAGCTTTTTTTGGAGTGATGACACGCTCAAACTAGATTATGATTGTTTTGGGGATGTTATTATCTTTTATACAAGCTATAGACTTAATAAGTATAATTTATGTTATGTTCTTTTTTGTTGGAGTGAAACACCATTTGCAAAAGGTTCTCTTCAGAGTTAAATTCTTGTCAGATGAGATTATTGATTCATTCTAATGACTATTTAAAACATTTATCTGTACCAGGGATGACAAGCATTCAGTAACAATCTACATTGATTAGGCCAACCAATGACAAGAATCATAGAAGATATTTTGTCAGATACACGACATAGATTATATCGGTAACATATCTACAAGAAATTTCCTTCGAAAGTTTATTTTGTGGTGGGTAATAAGATAGTAAGCGATCATTTCTATAAATGCATGGGCAAATGCGTCTCTGACGAGGAGTTTGAGAAAGGAAATCTACACGAAAAAGTTTGGATATATGATTTGTACAGCATTAGACATAAGTGGTTGTAGCTTTTAATAAAGAAACATTTGGAATGAGAATTTTATCAACACAAAGAAGAGATCCTACTAATAATATTTTGGTGTCTCAAAGCCAATAAGTTCTATTATCGATTGCTTTCTAGGCCTTGAAAATATCACTTCTTATTTGGTTCATCTCCTCTTTGAATCACTTTTATGATTCGGGATGAAAATTTATTTGAATAAATGAAGCATACAACAATCAAAAAACTAACAATTCCTTTTAAAATAAGAAAGAGAAAAAATGAACGGAAATAATGCCTCAATAATATTAAAATAACATCGGTGAACAACGCTAATAACAACCCCCAGAGGACCAAACAAAAACACAGCGGTTTTGCATCAATCACCCCGCAAATAATTTCAATAATACCTTAATAACATCAAAATAACATCGGTGAATAGCGCCATTAACATTTTTGGAGGATCACGCAAATAAACCACAGTTTCGCTTCAATCATCACGCAAAACAACTCAATAATACTTCAATAACATCGAAATAACAGAGGTGAACAACACCAATAACACCACTCGGAGGACCACACAAATAAACCACTGTTCTACTTCAATCACCTCACAAAATAACTCCAATAACATTTCAATAACATCAAAATAACTTTGGTGAACAACACCAATAACACCGCTGGAGGACCACATAAGTAAACTACTGCTCTGCTTCAATCACCCCGCAAAACAACTCCAATAACACCTCAACAACATCAAAATAACATCGGTGAATAGCGCTAATAACACCGCTAGAAGGACCATGCAAATACACTGCGGTTCTACTTCAATCACTCCGCAAAATAACTCCAATAAAATCAAAATAACATTAGTGATTAGCGCCAATAACATTGCCTCGCTATTGGAGAGCTTTGTGCCATAAATTAAAAATGTGCAAAGTACCCTTTTCAAGAGAAGACTTAAGCTGAGTCCTAAGAAGTCATTCAAAGAAAGGGGTAAAACACAAATTTCCTTTTTGAAGGAAAAGCTAAGAATCTTCTAATCCCTAAATTGCTTGTTGTTTCTAATCCCTGACACAATGTGTGTGTTCTCAGTATGTAATTACTTTAATTTCAATCTCAGAAGACGATGCTAAAATCTTGAAGCTGCAAAGATTTTGCAATGTTTAATTCTTAATAAAGTGTTATATATCAAATAATTTTTGTTTTCTTTCCACAATTTAATTTTACGCATTAGGGATACTACACAAGTACACGTATCATTTCAACTAATATAGGACTTTCTTTTTAAACCCCAAGTATCGATCCCACCGGGAAGGTTAAAACTCTTTTATGAACTTCGTAAAACCTTACTTAAACTCCAGACAATTACCTAGAAAATAAGATCGCAAGTTTATGTATAAAAAAAAATAACAAATTCCTGCAAAACCTATGTCAAAGCTTAAAGCAAATTCTAAGTGTTTCTAAACTAGTTATATGGAAAGAGTTCCAATTATGTAAAAGTCTTTCCCCTTGCAATGAGATCCTAATCAGTGTAGGAATCAAATGTTTAAAGGTTTAAATAATGTTTTATGACAAATAGGAGCAATCTTAATATTTACCCTCTTCCGAGTGCATAAAGAATATTGGTTAACCTAGAGTTTAGTTCCTAGATCTAAGGTTATGTTGGATATGTTCGAGTCTCTCACTTCAAGTTTACCCACTGTCCCCTCTCTTTAGGACTAACCAATCCTTAAATTTCAAACTTTAGATCAAATTGGTTAATGTTCTAGCCTATCACCATAGAATCGCCAATTTACACCCACTAAATTTTATCTCACTATCTATTTGCACTAACCAATGAACTACCTTATAACCCACCATATTAATGTGATTCTTACTGGTTGAGGAATATATAGCCCTCCCGGGTCATTATGGCTTCACAACAAGTTTTAAAATACTAATTGGTTAGATTGAATATGTGAATTAAGTATGAAGTAATGAATCATCACAAGTATGGAATAAGAGAAATCATAAACAATTATAATCCTACACAATATTAATTCTTATTGTAAGGAGAAAAATAAAGAAAACTACTCAGATCTTGTGGGGATAA